TCACCTCCTGCCATCGCCTGGCCTTCTCTTCCTCACTGAGAACATAAAAGAGTTACATTTTTACGTTTGCTTTCAAATCATCGTGTTGGCTTTAATTCATATTTAATGCGAAAGACTCAAGATCGATATCGAGCATTTAAGGAATAAAAATCAGTGTACAAGTAATGTTAAAGAGTATTTTTTTTTCTTCTTTGCAGCGCCCTCGGGAAACAAAAAAAAAAAAACGACCACACTCAAGTAATTAAATCCCATGAATAAAACACAACCTCCCAAAGAAAAGCAAATAAGCTAACAACTAAACGACACTCAAAGACCTATTCTCGAAACTCGAACTCACTCGATGAACTCCTGGTCGCACACCACGGGCAGCGACAGCCTCAGGAACTCCCAGTTGGCCTTCTCGCATTGCTCAAACATCTTGGACGCGATCTTGAGGCACGGGGGAGTGTCGGAGCCGGCGGGGATACGGGTGACGTCGATGGTGGAGTCGGCGAGGTCGTCGTTGTTCTCGAAGATGGGCTGGTCCTTCGTGTACCAGAAAGTCACGGGACGCTCCATGTTCCTGAAGAAGGGAGAGGTCGTGGTGAGGGCGAAGAGGGACTTATCGTGGGGGAGAAGTTAGGATTTTGCATGGAGGTGTATAATTGTTATAAAAAAAACTGTTAATTTAGGTTTGTTTCGTTTTTTTTCTCCTAATTTTAAACCCCAGAAGAGGAAAGAAAACAAAATATTTTCTTCATCCTCTTCTACCATCTTTTGTTTCTACACCAAGATTTCCATACAACCCCACCTCCCACCCCCACCCCCCACCTTCCCGGACAACACCAGCCTCCAACAAGACAAAAAGACCACCAACACTCACACGCAGAAGGGCTCGTAGCTCTCCTGAAGACCGTAAGTAGTGAAGAATTTGAGCTGGTTGATGTCCTGGCCGAAGACAAAGTGCGCCTTCTGGCCGACGCCGAGGGTGCAGGCCGGCACGAACGCATCGCCCTGCACGTCGCAGAAGGCCGTCTCGGAGCCGCTCGCGTCCATCATGAGCTCTCCGTTGAGCGAGAAACCTGTGGGCGGGGTGGGCGTGAGAGCGAGCAGTGGCGGCGGGCGCTTGCTTGTTGGCTCTCTCTCTCTCTCTCTCTCTCTCTCTCTCTCTCTCTCTCTCTCTCTCTCTCTCTCTCTCTCTCTCTCTCTCTCTCTCTCTCTCTCTGTCTCTCTCTCTCTCTCTCTCTCTCTCTCTCTCTCTGTTTGCGGTATATGATTATCTAGCTATCTGTCTACGGGGTTATTTATCTATGTACTTACCTATTAGTCTACTTATCTAAACAAATATCTACTTATTTATCTAACTAGTTATCTCTCTTTCTCTTTCTCTTTCTGTCTCTCTCCATCTCACTCTTGCTCTCAATTTCACTCTTACTCTCTCTTTCCCCCACTCTCTCTCTCTCTCTCTCTCTCTCTCTCTCTCTCTCTCTCTCTCTCTCTCTCTCTCTCTCTCTCTCTCTCTCTCACTCACTCTCTCTCTCTCTCTCTCTCTCTCTCTCTCTCTCTCTCTCTCTCTCTCTCTCACTCACTCACTCACTCACTCACTCACTCACTCACTCACTCACTCACTCACTCACTCACTCACTCGCTCGCTCACTTGTTCGCTCACTTGCTCGCTCATTCATTCATTCACTCACCCACTCACTCACTCACTCACTCACTCACTCTCTCTCTCTCTCTCTCTCTCTCTCTCTCTCTCTCTCTCTCTCTCTCTCTCTCTCTCTCTCTCTCTCTCTCTCACTCTCTCTCACTCACTCACTCTCACTCACTCTCTCTCACTCACTCTCTTTCTCTCACTCACTCTCTTTCTCTCACTCTCTTTCTCTCACTCACTCTCTTTCTCTCACTCACTCTCTTTCTCTCACTCACTCTCTTTCTCTCACTCACCCTCTTTCTCTCTCTCTCACACACACACACACATGTACGTTTCCAGCTACCCACATGTGCCTGTCCACACAAACCAACAGCAAGTCTAAAGCACAGCATGTTACTCATAATGCTAAGCAACAAGTAAAAAGAAGAAATATAATTAAAAGGGATTTAGAAAATGATTCAGGTGTTTAGATTAAGCTTTATCATTTCGGAGAAATTTTAAGCTGTAATAAAAAGATCTGACACATTATAGAATGAAGCTTAGCAGAGTTCTTAGACTTTGCAAATCTGGATTAAAATCTGGGAACTTTAGCCTTTATGTTCTTTATTGCCAAGCTGTGTTACTGGGCTTCTTAAGAACTTAGAATAGGAACAGAAAAGAGAAAAGCAATATACAAATTTCTCTCTTAACTGATGATGGTTAATCAAAATGATACAAAAGCCTTCACAAGAGACAAACACTTAATTTTGCTGTATTTTGAGCGACTCGATTTTCTGAGAGACTTTTGTTGCATTTTTCTTGCCTTTTTTCAACTCAACCGATTGTTTGCTTCTACCACCATTGGGATGATATATTTTTGAAAAATCATCACTTTTTTTTCTTCTTTATTTACGATATTGATTCATGGCATTTGGGATATTAAGGAACAAGGTTTTTATCTACCGTCTTCGGTAATTTTTTAAAAAGTAAATAATTCATATCAGACCACAAATATAGATTCCAAAATGAGATCTAGTGATGCTGGGGACATAGGGGGATAAGCACATATTCTTTTCCAAGGACCCGTAACCGAAGCGTGCATTTTGGGGAAGAGGTGGATCATTCCACGTGCATACGGAGAAAAGTGGATTTCATTCTCGTTGCTCCAAGGTGCAACGGGATACTATACAACAAGGAACTAAAAAATATATATGACGCGAAAGCCGACTAAGAAGTAAAAAAAAAATGCTTGTGGAGAGGAAAAAAGTGATATACAAAAATGGATGAAAGGGATGCCAAAATATTCTCAATTCTACAACGCGGGGATTTTGGACTTTCCTCAAAGGCGAGAAACATGGGATCCAAACAACCCAACTGGGAGAAGCGTGGATCATAAATTGCTTACTATCTAAATTTTCAATATATTTCAAATTCGTGATACTGATGACCATGCGAAGCAAGGAAAAAAAACGGTGATAATCTGTGCGTGAACTACGACAATACTTGTACCGAGGAGAATAACACGGTGCGCAAACTCACGTCATCCAGAGTGTGAAGAAGACAAGAATCTGTTCTTAATTAATAAGGCTTTGATCACGATTAAAGTTAAATTTATGTACAGTAAATGTTTTGTTAAATTAGATTTGTTCTTGCCACCTCCACGCTAGGTGATTGAGGCGAGGACCCGACATGCTGGCTAAAGCGCTGCCCTTGACGCCGGCAACACGTCGAGTCCCTCCCAGACTACAAATACAAAGCTAAAACGAGGCGAACGACATCCTCCTGAAGCGTTGATTATTCTGGGATACTACTGCTGCTAAATGGAAGAACTATTTCATCTTTACGCTCATCTACAAGAGCCACCGACGGCACAGGGCCAGTAACTCACTGATAGTTCTGTCGACCAGATCAAGGCACACGCCAACCACGTCTCCGACTTGCCACTTGTGACCGTAGCTCTCCATCGTGCCCGCGTGACATTTCTCCTCCTGCGCCACACACAATACATTAACACACACGAACGGAAGACACATTTTTAGCTTCGTCCTGCAACATGGCAGTCGACATGTTGGACGTTTAAGATGGTCGGTGTTGAACTGCATCAGATGAAGCTGCCTTTTTAAGAGAAAGCCATTGCCTCTAACAGGGTGAAACTTGATCGAATTCCACTGCAAATGGGAGTCATCTGATGCAGTTCAACGCCTGGCAGTTACGTGGGTGAAGGAACATGGTTAGAGGCAGCGGAGAAACTTCTTTAGCAGCCAAAAAGAGCATCTGTGGCAAAGAAAGAGTTTGAATGGTTAGTTGTAGGTTGCAAACAGCTCAGCACACTGGAGAGGTACGATGCATCTCAGACTTCTGTCTCTTCTGTCTGTCTGTTTCTTCCACTGTGTCTGTCAAGCGAGGGACACAGAACACCCGTCCCTTGGACATCCCCAGTGTGCGTCGGCTGTTCAGACTGGGCGTTTCAGACTGAATGGATGGATGGATGGGCAGGAGGATAGGCGGGTGTGGGGCTTCGAGACTGATTAACCGACTTACTGATGGTTCTGTCATGCAGGTCCAGCATGACTCCCACCACATCGCCGGCCTGGATACGGTGGCCATATGCCTCCGATATGGCATTATGGTGTTTCAAGTGCTTTGGAAATAGGGATACATTACTCATTTATTTCAATGTGCCTTTCCAGGTGAGTGTAATCTTGAGTGTGGCTGTTACACCTTTGTCTGAAATACTTATATGGTAATCACATGCAAATTACATTTTCATACGCATTAATTTAGACTGAAGTCTGAAAAATGTAATGCAGATTTTAAATATTGCAACCTTAAATAGGTATTCTTCCATTCAGTATTTTAAAAACTACATCAGCTATCAAAATGTTCAGGCATTGTATATGAAACTATTCTTAAATTTAAGACTCAATCATATTTTCAGTAAATCATAAGATTTTCTTAATGTTATTATGTTATTATGTTATTGTGGCTTCACATCCATACATATAAGATTAAACTCTTCTCATTAAAATTACAAGATCCACTGAGAAACATACATATAAAGTCTATGATATATATACACACACGTGTAGGTATGCATGTGTACATATATATATATATATATATATATATATATATATATATATATATATATATATATATATATATATATATATATATATATATATGCATGTGCATGTATAAATATACATATATTACACAAACACACACACACACACACACACACACACACACACACACACACACACACACACACACACACACACACACACACATATATATATACATATATATATATATATATATATATATATATATATATATACATATACATATATATTATAAATTAACCCATCAGGTCATTTTATTA